ATTTAGCCGACACAATGCCCTAATTGAAGGCATGCAAAAACTGACAAAATATTATTTTGCACTTTGGATCCACAGCCTCAAACAAACTACAAAGGCTCAAAATGGATATGGTCTAAAAACAGACAAAGTAAAGGTGCATAAAGTACCTGGACCAGATGTCTTACACCCATGTGTCCTCAAAGAGTTGAGCTCTGTTATTTCAAAGCCATTATTTAGAGACTCTTTAGCTTGGTAACCAATGGATTGATGCAATATATTTAAAATAAGAGGTGCACCGAAATTAAATTTTTAAAACCGAAACAAAGCAAAAAAATAAAATGTCAGGCAGAAACCAAAATGTTTTTTCTAACCTTTTTAAAAAAAAATAATATTTTATTTTTATTTATTTAATATTTTTATTTTTTACTTTACTGTTGGGGCTTCAGGGAAATATTATGGGTCTAAACAGACCCCTGTTATTTCCCTTTTAAAATAGAAAAAGAGATTGAGGACACAGAGTCATCAATCTCTTTTACTGCAGACCCTGTTATAAATGAGCAGGAATCCTCTATACTGAGTGTTCCTGTTCATTCATAACTTGTGGAGATAGTATCTTTACCATGTCCACAATCATGAATGAACAGGAGGTGATGTAGATCACTTCCCATTCATTCATAATTGGGGACACAGTAAACATACTCTGTCCTCAATTATTTACAAGCAGTCAGCGATCACTGAGTGCTTGTACCCGCTCTCCATCCTGACTCGCTGTCACAGGAGGCTGAGTGGGAGGTGAGGAAGGCTCGGTCTCCTGTGACAGCTGCCTCCTCCCCTGCACCGCCACTCTCTTGATCTGACACAGGAGGCTGAGCAGGGCGGTTCGGGAAGAGAGCCCGGCTTCTCCTCCACCGAACGGCACCTGACAGTTTCTCTCCTCCCCGCGGGATGCTGTGCTGTGTCAGAGGGGACACAGAGCAGCGCCCAGCAGGAAAGAGAGAAACCAGGCATGCACCGCAAATTTTCCGCCAATATGTTTCAGCGGCCGAAATTCTGATGCATCCCTATTTAAAATGGATCAAAGCCTTTACCAAGTAATTACAGACCTGTAAGCTTAACTTCTCTAGTTGGGGAAATACTTGAAAGTTTGATAAATTGATATAACACTGACTTAAAAAGACTGTATCCAGAAAGGAATTTTTTTTCCCCAGTTGGAGCATATTGGGCCATATTTTGAAAGGGTTGTTGCCTTCCTCTGGATTAACTGTGGGTATAGGGTTCTCTATATGCAGGTTTTTTGTTTGGTTGAACTCAATGGACCTGTGCCTTTTTTGTAACTATGTACCCTCCTGAATTAGGCATGCAAATTTCAGCTTGTAGTACAAATCAACACTCTGACACAAGACTCCAAATCCCAATGCAACATGTGCTCCTCAGCAGGAAATCTTTACTTTATTGTCAGTGTTCTACAGTGTTAGTGCAGGCAAAGGCCAGTGTCATGTTTCATAGCTTATTACAGAACGGCTGGGTCCTAGGGGCTCAGTAGCCAACTCCACTTAAAAAAGGACAGCTGGAGCATAGCTTAAAAAAAAAAGAAGCTTTTTGTGTTCTTGTTCAAGTGTCACCCGGCTCATTTCTGCTGTCCTCTACAAAGGGCTGACTATCTCCTACATCCTAAATTAATTCTACACGAATTTCTCGATGCCTTCACTATATACTCGTGGGTCACAATCATGTACTTTGACGCAAACTTCTGGTTTTAGCACTTTCAGCACTGTTACTCCTTATCATCTTAAAGTAGATATAAAACCTAAACTTAATGACACTTAAGGAAATATGAAGCAGTGAATGTGACATTCACTGAACATTCACTGTGGGCATATATTCCTAGTAATTGTGTTTTATTTTAGAGTTACCGATTCACCTGCAGTAAATGTTTGGTGAATGTCACATTTACAGCTTCAAAAATATTCCCCTTAGTTTGCTAAAGCATGGTAGATCACAAACAATTGCCCGATTTTTAAAATAAAATACAAATTTCCACCCTTTTCATCCTTTGTCGCATCTCGGCCTTTTGCAGCCACTTTTGCACCTACAATCAGGCACTCCAACGATGGCTGTATGGCATTTCTCAGGGCAGGTTCCTTGATGGTGACAACAGTGGACCATATCTGCATAATGTGTGCTTAATAGGCTGCTTGTAGTCTACACCGGAAGCCTGTGACCAGATAACAACAATTGGGAGACGGGGGCAAAGCACTGTCACCACATAACAGGAAGTGCCTGAACAAGGACCTTTATGGCAGGGCCACCAAGTATTATTTTACAAAAGCATTCAAAAACATCCAATTGCTCTCAGGGGGCTGTCCCTCATTCAGATCGGAAAGCTCTCAAACCATGTAAAAAAGAAACACAAAGAAGAGCACACAAGCCCTGTGCGATGTCAGTTTATTAAGGTACAATTAAAAGCAAATGAAAGGCTACTCACAAGTGTGGTGCTGTGTAACGCTTTGTATGATCATCCACAATGAACATTCCTAATCCAGACAGCCTGGTCGCAGATACAAGGGTTGACACATTTCCGGGGCCCTTCATCATAAACGCGTCAACTGCTGCATGCATGTCGGCACTTGTCATCATACCGATCGTTTAATTGTATCTGCTAACAGGCTGTCCAGATTAATAATGTCCGTTGTGGATGCTCATACACAGCGTTATACAACACAGCTTTTAATTGTAGCTTAATAAATCGATATCGCACAGGGCTTGGGCGCTCTATTTTGTGTTTCTTTTTTACATTATTTTACTGAAAGCTGCATGTAAAAACCTTGAAAATTACTTTAGAAATGACATAAACATGTTAAAGCTTATATGAGATTTTAGCAATTGGGGTTACAAATACTTTGAGTCCCAATTAAGGGCTTTGTTCAAATTAGATGAGTTTGAAAAAGAAGACATCAAAGAGCAATGTGTCATGGGAGATCTCCATTTGATTTGTTTATATCAGAATGCACAGGACAACATGCTGAAAATGCAGCATGCAGGTTTTTTTTTTAACAACACATTTATATGCTGTATTTTAATGCGAAAAGGTCATATTGAAATCAATACGTGTTATGTCAATTCTATCCGCTTTGTCTGCATTACTTCTCAAAAGACACAAGGAATCATCCAATATAAAAGAGCCCTAAGGGTCTGCTCAGAGGTCAGCACGTAGTCTTACATAGAAGATGCACTGTCAGCCTTCAATACAGTGCACTGACACATGCGAACACTAAATTCATGTATTTTACAGAGCAACCATGGAAGTGTAAAAGGAGTTAAATCCAAAATGGTTCATTAACTTCACTTAATATAGAAGAAGGCAGAACATTAAAGCAGTGGGCGCCTTCCATGGATGCTGGGCACCCGTTTACTTATCAATAGCAGCTTTCAAGGCTCATTCTCCAATACTGAGACAACATTTCCTGTCTATAACACTGACTCCATTGACAGGGTTCGCCTGATGAGAACTTTTTCAAATCCACCAGGAAAGGCCAGGAGACCCAAAGAACAGACCCCAGAAAAATGGATATGCAGGGGTTTAAATGTGTTAACAAAAGCCCTCACAAACCTCAGTCATACAGATTAAAAAAAGCTGGTCTTTAGTCTAGAATTGGAAAATAGAAGTTTAACCCTTTCGCTGCCAAGCCCTCCGGAACATTTTTATATTAGTTGTCTGCATCATTCCTTGACAAGCCTATTTAGAACAAGCAACATTCTAAATTAGAGAAGTTCAGAAAATATCACCTTTACTTGAAATTTTAGACAGGAGATACAATGCATCTCTTACTTAAATTTTATTTCAATTAGGGTTCATATAACAACCTATAATAAGACGTTGCAGTTTATTTCATGAAAGGGGACTATAGTGTGGATCAATAGGCAGATTCCAAGAAGAGTCTGTTCTCACCAGAAGTGTTGGGGCTGCCCTGGGTTGTTTTTCTGGTGTAAATAGTCCCTTATTGATCTTAAGGTTTCCCCTCTTTTTTTAAATAAACTAAACTTCTTATTTTAGGCAAGGAAATGTACCTTGTTTTAAATGTGAACAGTTCACACCACAACGTTGCTAATATATGGCATGCTTTACTGTTTTTCAGCACAGCGTGGTTGTCTAGTGGTACAACCGTATAGCACCACGCTGTGCTGATAGAACTTCATGAAATGTCACTTGTGACAATTCAATACAATTCTAACGAAAATAAAAAGTGTGATGCTTCAGGATCAGTGCTTAAGTACAGTACTTGTCATCACACATGGACATTTAGCGCAGCTTGCTGGTGTGAATGGCCCTTACTGCCCATTCTTCTAATATTTGCTGACTAACCTAGGAGGCTTATTTTTTTTTTTAGAAGAATTAGAGAAATGAAAATTACTGTAAAATGAAATAATTATTCTATTCAGAAAGCTTAAAATGCTTTCTTCTTCACAAAACATTTTGTTTATTCAAAATGTTATTCTAGTTATTTGGGGGGGGGGGGGAAATTATAATAAAAATATAATAAAAAGGTCTGAAACATTATTGGTGCCTTAAACACAGCTGATCCAGAGCTGCTCTAGGCCCTGTCTCTTGGCCTATGCCATTGTCCACGTGATCTCTGCTGGCAGGGATCACCTTCTCTACTTGTACAAAACAGTTTATGCCATTGCCAGAGTAGATATACACACCTACCCAAATAGTTTACTTTTGATATAAAAGAGGAAGATCCTAGGTCTAAAACATTGTCTTATGTAAATCATAGAACACATTCAAGATGGCACCAATCACAGACAACCTATAGGTACACCATGTTGTAGCTCCTCAGTTACAATATTAGCACACAAAATAAGGCCTGGGGTTATTCCTAACCAGTTGTTAGATCACAGCTACCAACATTGTGCCAGTTTCAGCACAGTGCATGAGGTAACTCACAGGACTGACCCTGTTCCTATTGATAAGCAACAACCATTTACTGTACTGCAGCACTAAATACTGGATGACTTACCTGAAGGTCAAAGAATTTGCTGTATCTTCTATAGATGGTATAGGATGTTGAATCCGACCAGGTTACTTGTATGATATACACCTGTAGAGAGATAAAGGTAGGATGTTACTAACATAGAAAAAAAAAGGCTGTGAAGAAAATGATTTAATCAGGTGGAAAAACAAAGGCAAATAAAAGTAAAATTTAACCCCTTCATGACTGAGGCCCTTTTTTCATTTTTTGCACCCATGTTATATTCCACATTTTAGGCCTGAAAATGACTTTGAAGGGGTTAAATCAGAATAAATACTTTGCAATCATTAGGAACACTTAACCAAAAAAAAAAGAGTGCTAATTCTTAAATGCAATGATTAATATCAACCAATAAGGCTTCTCCCTGCTGAAGTGAGACCATTACAAGATGAATTCTAATTGATTGATATGGTTGAATAACAGTCAATTACATTAGATTATATGAGTAAAATGATAAAAAAATATTTTTCTTTAATAGCAAATTAACAAAAGTTGTCTTCATTTGATAAACAATAATAATAGAACATATTTTGCCACCTCTAGTACAAATCCTGAGGAGGGTGGAAAATTATAGGCTGAACAGTGACTGCATCCTATCAGTTTAAGTGACTGTTTGGCAGCTCCATTGTATTCAGTCAGGTGAATACTATAACCAGCAGTGGAGATCCAACTGGTAGCATAGATGGGGGAATTGTTTAATTTTCTCTTGTTCAGCCCACAGACTGAACAAGAGGAAATCGAGCCATGTATGGTCGCCTTTACTATTCCACTCTGAAAGAGAGACGATATAACTAAAATACCCCGACACTGCAAGGGTAAAGTGCTCATTTTGTCTAGGGGGTTCAAATAAAGCAGATATACTTACCTGACCCTCTGTCCGATGGCAGTCAGTGCTCACCTCTCTCCGTCCTCTCCAGCCATGGAATGTCCCTCAACATCCTCACATCAAATGCAGATCCTTAGACCATTGCAGCCCAAGGGAGAAGAGACTGTGGGGATCAGTCTCGTAGTCCAGGGGAAGTCGACGGGGCAGAGGCTCAGGTGATTAACATAGCTTTATTTGAGTCCCCCAGACAAAACAAGCATTTAACCCTTGCAGGGCCGGGGTAGCCTCACTGCAAGGGTACATTTTTTGTTTGCCCGGAGTTCTTCTTTAAAGTTTGTTGGTAGAGTTATACATCATAAGGGTTCCCTTTGTGCAGAGTTTCTCACAAGTCCTCGGGGGCCACAAATCCTCATTGAAGATTTTGCGGTGGAATTGTTAGAATGCATCTTTTAAAATCTGATTTATAAATACAGCTGT